TTTGCTTGCGGCTGTATTCTGTACGAAGCATTAAACAGCTTAAAATCTTCATCACAGCCTCAGTTGAAATATTCAGTTCGCTAAGTAGTTCTCTAATCAGTATGGAAATCAGTGTTATATAATGGCTATCTCTGCCTGCGAGTAGACTGTGGTAATTAACATACAATGTATTCGTTTTACCCTCAGCGGAAACAAAGGGAGGGTGGACTTTACCTTGTTGGAGCTCAGAACGTCAATTCGAAATGGATTTGGTCCAATTCTGCCGACGTGGAACTGCAATCCAATCTGTAAGTACTACTATAGAACAGTAACAATTTCACGTCAATGACAAGCCAAAAAATGAATATTTCCGATTTTATTTCTACGCGTAAAATAGATGAATATATATTTTTAAGATGCAAAGCACAAAATCAATCCCACACGAAATGAGTCACAGTAGCAACGAACACATTTAACCATGACGTTTTGAGATAAATATATAAATACCTCTTCATATATAGAAGTATAACCTGATTTCAAACACGATGATTCAATATTCCCATAATTACTGTAGCTTGGCTTGGCTTGACTTGCTTCTACATACACTCATTACTCGGTTTTCGTTGGCATTCACTTCCCCCTCCTTTTGTGTCCTCTCAGGTGGGTACCAAGCCATCCACAGCCACAGAATGAGATCTCCATGTTAGTGCCCATCGACAAGACACACGGAAGACGCTACATCATTAGCAACGCCCCCAATACTTTTGCTCCTGGTTACATTTGCGAACGATTCTAAGACTTACAAGTTGGTTGGTGGTTGGAGAAATCTGTCATGAGGCTTGCATGAGTCGGTCGTAACGGCTGGGTCATGGAAGCTTTGATATGAAAGCGTTTATGTAAGCAGATTTCTACATAATTGGATGATAGAGATAAGAGATAATCATCTTTGATATTTAAGTTACTGTTGTTTTTGAGAATCATATCCAAGATACATGCCGAGATTCAATGTATATGTATATATGATTGTTGTTGTATTAAAGAATATAAAAATTCTTTATTTATGTTTTCCAAAACACAAAAGCATAAGCCACACTTGATTTTAGACAATGGGATAAAATGTTTATACACACACACACACTTTAATAAAGAGAGAAATGGGTCTGATCTCGTACCTTCTAAAAATGCTGCCTGCACGTTTTTTTTAAATGGTATTTTAAGAGTTATCATAAAAAAGGAATCAAAGCAAATGGTAAAAAATATTAATTTGAAAACCCACAAGACACAGACACCAGAGCAGACACACACACCACACAACACACACACACACACACACACACACACACACACACACACACACACACCACGACACACACACACACACACACAACAACACACACAAGGAATTCTTTAAAAAGGTTCAAAGAAACTGGGTGATCAAGGGAGACTATACAAAACACAGAAAAGCCAGAAGAGACAACTTTAAACGATATCCACAGCAGAGAAACGTGAAAAAAAGGCAGGAAACTATCGACAATCAAAGAAGAGAAGACTAATGTTAGAAAACGCAGAAATGCTGCTACGGAAGCGGCCAGCCCTGCTAACAACAGGGCTGGAATTTTACGGAAATTCGTCAGCTAACTAGAAAAAGACGACCGATGATGCTGACGTCACTACGGATTTTTTTCGTAGACTGTTTTTTCTTGTTATTTTTTATGACTCAGATGGTTATATGCAAATGAAAACTATTAATGGAATATTGAAAAAAAAAATCCCATGTTCAAATATACTTAAAACCAACTGTAATGAACTGATCATAACCATAGGCAGAGCCACGTCATAATACCCTGCAACCACACTCGCTATGAATAGTCGTATACCTTTTTTTAGAAGCAATAGCTAAGAGAAGGGTGCAGAGAGCATGTTCGGAGGGACACAGCAAGACGGGGGCTGCGACAAGTAGTATGGGGTGGAGGCATGATCGGGGGGTGGTGGGAAGGATCCTGTTTGGGTGCACCTCAGTGGGCGAGAGTACCTGGACGAGCGGAGATTCGAATTTTGCGGCAGTGGTGGAGAACCAGGATTATCGTACGGAGGTAGGGTTCCACTCCGCGATGGTAGAGGCGGCAATGTCGTCGTAGTATGCGGCGTGTCAGGTAGGTTCCTGATTCGCGATGATGGCAGAGCAGCATCGAATCCATCAGGATATCTGAATTGATGCTAGACGATAGGCTACGGCAGGTCGGTAATGTGACCGTCGCTTTTGGAGTGTATAATGTTGATTTGTGCAAGGGGAGTAATGGGTCACCCCGCTCGTGCAGTGAAAAAGCGACGTGCTGAAGGAAATGAGGCGCAGAGGCTCTAAGCCAAGAGGGAGTTTTGGGCTGATGACGTGGTGGGGGGGAATTGTGGTTATGTGGGCAATGAGTTGATAGGGCAGATGGAGGTAGTCCGAGGTCTGTGGTCAGAGGCTGTAAAGGTATATCTCCATCGGAAATATTTACTCATAGGGGGGCCGTTCCAGGTAGGCCATCGAATGCATCGTCGTGGGTCCGTTCGTGGTCGCACTTACAGTGGAAATTTATAAATATACGTGAGTCCAGAGTAATGGCAATGCGCAAAGAACGAGAGGGTTTGGAGTACTTTAGAATGGTGTAGGCATAAGGTGCGGGGACAGCGCAGAACGGGCGGACCGGGAAAGGGGCGCGGGGACACGGCGGAAAACAAAGGCGCCGGACAGGGAAAGGTGGGGGGCACGGGCCAGGTCACGGGTGGCCCAAAAAGGAGGAAGAAAAGGAGGGTAAGGGGCGGCGCCAGGGGAAGGCAAGAGGGGCCGAGGAGCGAGGGACAGAAGCGAAAAAGCAAGGAAAAGAAACAGACGGGCAGAAGGCAAAGCGCGCACAGACAAAGGGGCGCGCGACGCGCACCGGCCGGAGGCAGCAAAGGAGCGCCAGCGCGGGCCGGGAGCGCGGCGGGCGCGCGGCCCCCGCGGCGGCAGTCGCCCGCGGCACGCGCCAGCACGAGCGGCGCCCGGCGGCCGCGATCAGAAAGGGGCAAGCAGCAAGGCAAAAAGCGCGCGCCACGGCGGCGGCTTCCCGCTACAATTATATGTAATAAGCGGAGTCGTAGAGAGGGGGGCGCGGCGGCGAGGGAGCCAGCAAGGGCCGCAAGGAAGATCCGCGGGGAGTAGCAGGACGAGGGCGCCAGGCAGCGGGCCGGCGCGACGAAGCGCTCGGGACGTTTTGCTCCTTCGAGGTCGGCCAGGGGCGAGGGAAGAAAGGAGTGCGGGGTACGAGGACGTCGACGAAGAGCGGCCCGGCGTCGTGCCGGCTAGAGCCGAAGACACACGGCGCAAGTAAGCCCACGCCGCGCCGGGTCAGGAGCGGGCACGGCCAGCGAGCGAGAAAGCGGGCCGGCGCCGAAAAAGAAGGGAGGCGCCCGGCCGGACGGCAGGAGAGGGGGCGGGGAGGGGGAGGATGACCACGCGACGGCGGCGCCGGGAGCCAGCGACCACAACACCCGGCCCCAGGGCACGGGGCCGCGGCGGCGGCAAGGGCGACAGGAGCGGGGCGGGGCAACAGGCACGCGCGCGGGGCCTAGAACAAGCAGCGCATAGCGGTGAGAGAGACCTGCCGGACCGACCGGAAGGCCGGATACGAGCACTAGGGAGGGGCGCGGCGCGGAGGACAGAGCAGGAAAGAGCCAGGGCAGGGAGGAGCGCCCGAGCGGGGGAAGCGAGTCGGGGGAACCCGCAGCGAGGAAACCACAGACGACACACACAGGGAGATAGAGAAACAGCCAGAAAGAGAGAGAAGGGGAGAGAGAGAGATAATGATGTTGTAGAAGATGAGTGAGAGAGAGAGATAGAGAGAGAAGAGAGAGAGAGAGAGAGAGAGAAGTAGAGAGAGAGGAGTGGCAGAAGGCAGGGGACGACTTATGTTTTTTATGAGACGATGAGCTGCGGGGGAGAGAAGAGAAGAGAGGAACCGAGGGAGAGAGAAAGAGAGAGACAGAGGCGGAGAGAAGACGAGAGAGGAAGAGAGAAGAGAAGAGAAGGCAGAGAGAAGGATGGAGAGAGAGGGAGGAGAGTGAGAGGGAGGGAGAGAAGAGGGAGAGGGAGAGGAGAGAGGAGGAGAGAGAGAGAGACGAGAGATAGAGAGAGAAGAAGAAAGAGAAGAGAGCGGGCGACGACGAAAGAGCGAGGGACGCACAGGAGGGAGAGAGAAAGAAATGGAGTAGAGGAGAGAGTGTGAGATGAGAGATCTAGGGATGGAGAGAGCGAGGGGGAACGGAGAGGAGGCAAGGAGGAGGGGAGAGAAGATGAGGTTGTAGGGTAGGAGGAGGAGAAGACGGACAATAAATGTGAGAGAGTGGAGGAGGAGGAGGAGAGATAGAGGAGTTACGAAGAGAGTGAAGAGCGACGGATCTTGTGAGAGAGTAGAGAAGGAAGAGATGTGGTTGTTGTTGTGTTGGGTGGTGCTGGGATGTGTTGTGTTGAATGTGTTATATATATTTTATTTTATATATTATATATATTTAATAATATATATAAATATATAAATAGTAATAATATTGATATATTTATATTAATAAATAATAAGATAATGTATAAAAATGATTATAATGAATATAGTATAAAATAAGTATAATTGTTACTATTCTATATATATAATATTAAGAGATAAAGAAATATATTTTATATATATAATATATATAAATAATTAATAATATAAATAAAAATTGATAATAATATATAAGAAATTATATATATATAAATATATATATATAGAAGATAAAAATGTAAGTGAGAATAGAAATATAGACAGCCAAAACACACAGGACAAAAGAACGAAGGGAGGAGAATGGATGAGAGGAGCGAGAAGAGATCTGGGCGAGAGAACGATGGAGAGAGGTTAGAGAAAGAAAGAGAGAGAGAGAGAGAGAGGAAGAGAGATGAGAGAGGAGAGAGAGAGAGAGAGAGAGAGAGAGAGAGAGAAGAGAGAGAGAGAGAGAGAAGAGAGAGA